TAGTTTCCGAGCGGGGACTGTAAGATGCCCACCTCCCGTCCAATCAGATGCGTCGAAAAAAAGAAACAAACAAAGTTGGACTAACTTGGACATGATAGCTCGTGGCTTTGCGTGGGCGGGAAGTCTGGATTTTATGGGCTCTAAAGGAGGGGGGTTGATTTCCAGACTCCGTTTTTTTTTTTTTGGCTCTGAGAAATAGAACTTGAAATGTGAAATTCAGATATCGTGGTGGATCTGACAGGAATGCTTCCGCGTCTGTCGGATGGCCTGTTAGAGGCATCATGAGATACATGGGGATGAATGTATCCCTATAGCCATTACTTGGTTATCCTCCTGGCTGTGTTCATGGACACATTTTATTGCCACGGTACATCACTATGAAGACTTACGTGAAGGAGATCGTACCAACCCATGAATTCTACAGCTGTTCTTAATACTTTTATGTGCTATTTCAATTCATTTTAAATCAGAAAACGATCCATTCATGCAAATAAAAAATCACTTTGTACTTTCCAAAAAACCATAAAACTGTGTCACTACATGCCCTCTATCGATGGAGGGGAAATCGTGCGGCATTCAGAGTTTTGAACAGATTCAGAAAAAGCAAAAAAGTTTTGGCTGTGTACCCTATGCACTTTCACCATTTGTTCCTTTTTCTTTTATTTCAAAATCACTGTAGGAGCGTCGTGTTTTCCGGACTTTTTTTTGGGGGGGGGCGGGGGCAATATTGTGACCTTGCTACAGTGCTTCGCGTGCACAAAAAGGCCGACAAAAAAAAAAAAAGCGCCGTGTGTACTGCCAAATATCATAATGACCTAACAGAAACGACCTTCGGAGGACCCAGCCCATTGGCTGAGTGCAGCACACACCCAGAAAAACCATGGCTCACAGCCCATTGGCTGATGGGAGCGCCCTAAGCTGAATTTTACTCTCGTTAACTCGCAGAAAGCGAGTTTTTCAAATCTGACAAAAATACAAACCATTTTTCAAATGCCAAAAGGGTGTCACACGCCACTGCCCCATGGTATAATGCAGCGCTAGTGGGTCCTGGCCCCAGCATCCCATTATGTCACATCTCTTAAGCACAACAACATGAGCATGAGCAAAACACAGATGAGATCTGGCCTCAGGGCATACTCACACGGGGACCTATAATCCCAAAAAGCAAAAAAAAAGGGGAAAAGGCGGGTCACACGGATCTACCAAATTTGCAAATGTACTATTCCAGTGCCCATTTGTCAACGGTCTGGGAAGCCGTGGGGCAAGGGATTTTGCGGTCACCTCCAGAGGTGACCGCAAATTCCCTTTTTTTTTTTTTTTTGCATTTTCTTCAAAAATTGGCAAACATTCGTTCACAAAAGTTCTTGCACAATTGGTGGATGGCGTCGTGTGACCAGCCAAGTACCAAATCCCCATTTCTCCAGACGGCTGCGACCTTGTCCCATCTGAAAAGGCACAGCAGTGTGACGTGAACCATGCCCAAAACCTCAAATCGGCCCTTCCCAAATCCACATATTTTGCAGATTTGGGATCGCCGTGTGAGTATGCCCTCAGGAGGGGGTTGCCGTTGTTGCAAGTTCATATTGTAGGAGGGTTTAAAAAAATAAGAAAAAAAAAGGAGGGTGACATTTGTATTTGGGCGTCGTTAGACACTCCTCGAGCCGTCCTCGGAGTTCGCGGACGAATCCTCAAAAATTTTTACGTATTTTTGAGGTGTCGTTCCACCTGTCCTCGGAGAATCGCCCCGAGGACGAATCCTCGGGGCCTTCCCGCGGCCAGTTTCATGACATTATATACGGCCGCGAGGGTGTTGTCCGACCTTCGATTCGGGATGTCCGTGTTGGAGGCGTGGTGGTCCAGCAGGCGGACGGCGGTACTGCGTCACGGGGCGCGAAGAAAAAAATCGCCAACGCGGGAATGGCCCCGTTCGAATTTCGAAATTTGAATTTGCGGCATGCGGAGCGACGGTGTGGCGGCGCACACGTGGGTCGGTGAGGAGGGGGGCAGTGCACGTCGCGAAGGGTTTCGGCTGCCATGGCATTGCGCACTTAAGTGCCGCCGCACCGCCACGTCTCCAGGGTGTTCGACGCCGCGCCGCGCTTCGTATGCTGCCCGTAGTTGCGCTCGTGACGCAGAGGGGCGCGACGGTTCCGTACTTCAGCGGCAGTGGGCGGACGCTCCAATCGGTGTGGAACATCGTTAAGCACGGCTGCATTGCTCACCTGATTGCAGGCGCCTTCAATCGCGGTGGGAGAGGTGCGCGCAGGTGGGTGGCGAGGAAGGTTTCTTTTCCTATCCGAAGGGCGGAATGGAGGGCTGCGATCGCGATGGTCGCGTTGTGCTGTCCTGTGCGGAGAAGACAGCTGTCGCGGCGGCTGCTGTCGCAGTTGTCCGTCGATTCCAGGTTGAGAGGGCGGCTGGGCGCATGAAAGTGACGCTTTCCAGGCGGCGGCAGAGGATTCTGCTGCAGAGGGTGTTGGACGCCTCTGACTGCGTTACCACTTCTGAGGCAGTGCTTCAGCTATGCTTTGCAATAGGGTGCGGTGTGGTTCCTCGGTCGACGCCACGTTGGTGGATGAGGGGGAGAACCGACGGGACTTGGGAGGATTTGCGGCTCTGCGATGACGCGACGGACGACTACTTCCTGGAAAAGCTCCGCATGTCAAGGAGAGTTTTCATTGAGATCAGCGAAGCCTGTGCACCTCTCTTGCGACGACAGGTGACGTTCTACAGGGAGCCACTTCCGCCGGAGCAGATCGTAGCCTATGCGCTGTATAGGTGGGCTACAGGAGAGTCATACGACAACAGCACCTCATCTTTCGACATAGGCAGGGCTTCCGGAATTCTGGCCGTGCGCGATGTGACAAACGCTTTGTTGAGGGTGTATGGGGACAGGTTATCGTGGCCGACGGGGGTGCGAAAACAAGTCGTGCTGCGGGCGTTTCTGGACAAGGGCTTTCCAAACTGCCATGGCGCAGTTGACTGCACACACATCTATGTGGACAAACCGACGAACACGCCCGACGAGAACTACTTCGACTGCAAGCACCGTTTCTCCGTCATTGCGCAGGTGGTGGTGGACCTGGATCTGCGCGTGCTAGACGTGTTCATTGGATATCTGGGGAGCTGCCACGACATCAGGGTGATCCAACTGTCGAGTCTGTCGAGGCGCACGGAACAGGGAGTGCTTTTTCGTGGGCCACCTGTGACGCTGCTGGGGGGGGTGAGGACGAACGGTTACATCTTGGGAGACAACGGGTATCCTCCTTCTGAATGGGTAGTTGTGCCGTACGGAGGAATCAATCAGCACCCGGACGAGGAAAGGTTCGACACGAAGCAGAAGGTCGCAAGAGGGGCTGTGGAGAGGGCGCTCGGGAGGTTGAAGGGGATGTGGAGGCTCTTCCTGCGGACACATAGGACAAACCTGGAAACACTACCGCAGCAGTTCACGGTAGTCTGCATTCTCCACAATATCCTCCTCGATGCCGGTGTCGAGTTCGACGAGAATTTGTTGTGGGAGGTCGACAAGAACAGGGTGAGGCGCCGAGTGGACCTGGGGATTCATCGTCCCCTGCAGCCATTGTCGATGTTGACGTCCACCGGTCCCGCCCTCGCGCTCCGCGACGCGCTGGCGGAGCGAATGAAACACCTGTGATCCTGTGCACTGCCTGCATCTTTCACGCGCAGAACACTTGCTTCGAGTCGTGTTCTGCAGTCTTCGATTAGTTAGGAGGGTTCGCCCTCTTTCGCTTTTGCGCGCGACGAAGCAGATGGTTTTCGGTCGCGGGCGGTCTTTTTTGGAGTTCGTTCTTATGGTCGACGGTAGTGTGCTTGTCCAATTCGTCTATGGTTCCCAGTGACGTGGCTCTGCGGTCGTTCGACGTCATGTCGACAGTGGTTCGGTTGTGCACTTTGTTTGGAATTGAACGATGTCAGTGGTGGTGGTGGTGGGGGTGGGGTGGTTGACAGCTCCTCGGCGAGCTCATGAGTATGTGGTTTACAACGCTGCTTTGTTTCAAATTGAACGATGTTGTCGACTCCTGCGCTTGTTTTGATTGCTATGTGATGACTTCTTCGTGCATTTYGCTTCTTCCTTTCGTTCGGCGACCGACTTCTTTCTCAMCCTCATTCAAAATGTTTGTCATTCACRCACTRTGTGCAATTTTRTGCAATTGCTCAGGGTCATMGGTGACGCATGAATGYGGCAATGAAGATTCATGTACATTGAKAAACGAAGCATTTCAATTTTGTTCTTTTAGCAAATGYGTGGTGACAGTGCRTGGCCAGGTTYGTTTCTCTCGTCCTGTTTTTTTTTGTCGTTCCCGTTTTCGCAGGTGCAGGCGATGATAAGGACGCAGACTTGTCACACATCCGACGAAGGGCCGCTTGCAGAAGCAAAAGATGTGAAGGACACGACAATCGCTATTAACGCATTCCATACATGATACATTCACACGAAAGACAACAAAACCAACTTTGAGCGACGAATCATGGACATGCGAGTACACAATTCTCACACACGAAATAAGACTTCAATTACATGCATTCCTTCCACAAATGAATATTGACGCGGAATTCGAAAACAGGAGTCCAACTGTCCACCCTCGAAGCATACCACAACAACGACGGACTCCACCTGCCTTCTATTTCATTCCTGACGTGTCGTGGAGTGGCCTAATACACAAGGCTTTGGAGCAGATCTACGATCTCTGCTCCAATGAGAAACTAATCACAACGAAAAGAAAAAACCTAGCAGGTGGATTGCTGACACAATAAAGCTCCACCTGCCTTGTACTGTCACCGCACACTAAAACAACACGCGCACGAAGATGATGACTGTCGATGTCACGACACCGCCGAACTGCGCGCTCCAACCACGACCATCGACGACAACACGTGTAGCGCGATGGGGGGATTCTACCCATCCATCATCATGGATTGCTGCACAGAAACGGCGACCAGCCATCTCACCTTCCAC